TCAACTCCCAGACTTCCCTAGCCAGGGAAGTCTGGGAGTTGAAGTCCACTCATCTTAAAGTGGCCAAGTTTGGACAACACTGTTCTAGTCCAATCCATTCAATTGTGCTAGACCAATTGACTCAGCACATCTTGGAATCGGGATTGCTCCATAATGCTCGAACAGTAACACATCCATTGCATAAAACCCATTTGAATTCAATGGAATATATTCCCAAGTAAATTATTATAGGATTGCACCTTCCAATGACATTTCTACACACAATTATAATTGAGAGTAACCCTCAATGAACATGTTGCATCAATCCCATTTTAGTCAGAAAAAACTTTATATATATTTAGTTTTATATAGTAAAAACTAATACAAACTAAACTTAAAGAAAAGTGGAAGAAAAAAATAAAACATGCAACAAAAAAGAAGAAAGAGAAAAGTGAGACTATAATAAAGAAAAGAAATATATAAAGAAGTGAGTTCCAACCTTCATCACAACAAGTATAAACAAATTTAGTGGCTCTCCATCCTTTATAAGGTTACAAACAAATATATTTTCATCCCATATCCCAACCCTTACCTATTGACTAATCCATAATGCATCAACTCTTCAGTCTAGACATCAGCAAAAGTCCATAAAGTGTTGCCAGCTTTGTAACCACATATCTTGTTTTAACCTTGATCAAATAAATCAACTTTATATTCATTCCTTTTAGTTCTAATAGTCTTAATCTTTAGTTCATTTAAATATTGTTGTAGGATTTGATTTCTCTCCAATTCTTCTTTGTCCCATTGTACAAATTTCTTCAAGGCTTTAACAAGCCTCTTTTGTAAATCCATTAAGAAAAAATCATCCAGGTCACTCTCTTGGTTTGTCATTTGTATTTCCCTTTTGATTTTTAAAACAATACTGTAGCCAATTTATTTTGTAAATCCACTAAAGCATCCTTTTCCAAGTCATTGTCTTGGTCCTTCATTTGTAAATCCACTTTTGGTACCATCTCTATCTTGTCAGACAAAATTTGTTCCACATCTGTCATTTCTTATTATAATAAAAGTTTATTATTAATCTTTTGGACATAGTCTATCTATAGAGGCAGAACTCATTACTGACACTGATATTGTGGCTACTAATTTCTGGCTCCATTCTTTAAAAATCTCCTTTAATATTTTCAGTGTTATAGGGTTTTGCATCCTTTTATAAGTCCCAGTAAATAAAAGCAGTCTTGTATTTTTTTTCCTCTGCTTGGGAACTTTAGTCCCCTCTAGTGTCCATTTTCTAAAATCATAAAATTACTTATCTTTGTTATTTCTTGTAATAACCAAAACAAATCTGTTCCCATGAGAAACTGTTTATTCTTTATAATTAATTCCAAAATCTTACAGTAAAGGTCAATATTCCAAATTTATCTGGACCCTTAATCCATTTATAACTTTCTTAGATCAAAATCTTATTTAGCTTTTTGCTGTTTATTTCAAATTCTTTAAGTTCCTAAGCTTATTTTATCTGGACCCTTAATCCATTTATAACTTTCTTAGATCAAAATCTTATTTAGCTTTTTGCTGTTTATTTCAAATTCTTTAAGTTCCTAAGCTTATAATTGATTTTTCTTTTATTCAAAGTTGAAGATAAACTCACCGGATGAAGACTGTTCAAACTTGTTCCAAAGGTCTCTAATAGCTTTAAGATAGTTAATAGACAATTTCCAAAAGTGACTAGAAAGTGAGGTTTGCAAACTTAGTGTCCTTTAAAAGGCTCCACTATGGTTGTGAGCAAAATGGCTAATCCCATTGACTCATAGTGTTCAAACCTATGGAAAACTGCTGTCCTGTGGTCTTATGAGGAGCAGCCATCCAGAGCACATGGGGCTAATCACCCATCCTCTCCTTATCTGGAGAGTTTCCAAGGAACCAGTCTACTCACTGGCTCCTTGGTCTTTGCTGTGGTCGTTGGCTCCACTTTCGCAGAGCCATCTGCAGTTTGCCATACCTCTCCTGGAAGACCTCTTTAGGCAGAATAAACTGATGGTAATCAATGAGACCAAGATTAAATTTAAATCCAATCTACTGAATAACATGCCTAGGTTTGCACAGTAAAGTTGCAGCCCGTGCACATTAACAAGATTGAATGTAGTTGGTTTTACTTTGAAGTAAGCATGAATAGGCTTCTACTAAATACATTTTAAAATACTGAAATAGGTGATCCTGTTATAGGTAAATACATTAATATTTCACATGCCTGAGACATAAAAAAATGATCATCACTCACTTGCATACATTAATTAAATGTTGAACTCTTCCCTGCAGAGATCAATGGAACATAAAAGTCACTAACTAGATTCTTTTATCCTAGATCACACTCATTATATTAAAATCAATTGGGCTTACTTTCAGGAAACAGATTAAGGATCAGAATATTAATAACTCCAGTTCCTTGGTGACTGGCATAAAATAATGTTTTGCCTTTAAGGTAATTCTTTTTCTTGAGAGCAAACACCACCTAAGAGCCAAAATATCAAAAATCTTTTTTTCTAAAACAGGCATAATAAAAACAAGTTGAACTGAGCATGTCTCCTGGTGACTGCATGGAACATTCCATGTAGATTTCATAGGAGCAATATATAAGCACAGAGATTCTCAGCCTCAGCAACTTTAAGATGTGTGGACTTCAACTTCCAGAATTTCCCAGCCAACATGCCAAGGCTGAGAAACACTGTATAAATCTAAAGCCATGTTTGCCATGGCTGCTTTCTGGGATGCTTTTAAGTTCCTAATTTAGTCTTCAGCTGTGAGATTTGCTGATGAGTTCTCATCCAAATGCTAACTAGATCTGACCCTTCTTAGCTTTCCTGAAAACCAACGTCAACTAGGTGCTACCCCAATTGTGGGCATGACAAAAGTAGAAAAAGAATTAAATATTCTTTTGATTACATAGTTCATTAACAATAATGTATTATATTTATTAGAATTATATTTGAAAAAAGAACACACCTTGTGTCTATTGCCTTATTCTATCCAACCAACCTTCTAATTGTTTCCTATAATTTTTTTTTTTTAATTAGATAAACAGAAGTTCCTAATATGGATACTGGATGTTAGTGTCTTTCAAAGCACATGACATTCTGAATTCAGAACTCTATTTACATACTGTCATGCTACTGTCCATTCTCCTAGTTTAATTTTCACACATTAGGAAGTCTTGCTCACTCACTCTTTCTCTCTCACATACATACCACAGTGCCTAGTATTAGCTTATAAGTTGAATAGCATTTCATTCCAAGCTACATTTGGGTAATGCAGGACTACTTCAGTTCCTTTGTACCATGTCCATTTCTACTAGAAACCATTTGAACACATTGTCAAAATGGACATATCTCAGTTTGCACATGAAATTGAGAATTAACATCACAGTTATTAAATCCAGAGAATTAACATCACAGTTATTAAAATCCTTTATCTGGCTCCATAAATTTTCCCTTCCAATCTCAGCCTTCTTATCAGGTAAATTCTGAAGAAGCTTTCTCTGCCCTTGGTGCCTCTTCTATCTGGACTGAGCAAGGGCTTACTCCCAATCTACAGTGCATGAATTTCATTAGTAATAGAGCTAGTATGGTATAATGGTGAAGGTACTGAACTAGAATCTAGAAGATTCAGATTCAATTCCACCCTCTCCCAAGGGAAATCACTGACTTTGGACAAGTCACATTTGGACCAGTCTCTCAACCCAGTCTACCTCTGAGTGTTGCTATTATGGGGATAAATTGAAGGAAGCTTTATAAATGTGTATGGCATTTTCTTCCTTCCACCAAGAACAATAACAGAACTAGATTAGGACATTTAACAAGTGTTTAAAGGTTCTCAGACTTCTCTGAGCCATTTGCTTCAAGGCCCATGCTACTTCCTTATTTCAGCATAGTCTGGAGTTGTCTGTTATTATCCATTCACTGAGTCCACAGGTCAGTCATCTGTTACATAGAACATACTGTATACATCAATGATACACAAGTACCATTTACAGCACCATCACAAATACTTTTGTTGCTGTTACACTGTTTTAAAGTGTACCTGTGTCCCGCTAGGTCACATGAGATCCTTGTCAAGCAGTCACATTTCTGGGAATAGTTCACATGCAGAAAGAAAATACCCAAATGTTGTTGTATGTATAATTCTTCTTAGTATTTTCAATTTTTTTCAGACATTTAAAAATCCTGGGAGTTACACCCCTACCATATCTGGTGGCTGCTACGTTGGAGAAAGCTGAATTACTTCATAAATTCTGGATAATAAACTGCAGATAATCTTTAGATATAATCCTTAGGCAGCTTATTTAATGTCTTATTTATAAAAGCAAGATTGTCACAAAGTTTGATTCTGGGAATATAATCATGGGGTTGGATGGGATCATTTAAACAATTAAATCCAACCTCTATTTGATGCAAAAATCGCTTTAAAGCATCCCTAATCAATGGCTGTCCAGCCTATGCTTAAACACATTCATTGATCAAGCGCCACTATTTCTCCAGCTAATTGGTTCCACTGCCAATTATTCTTACTGTAAGAAAAGGTTCTCTAACATATAAGTTGATGTTGAATGACATTCCCATGACATTCTGATTAACAAACTAGTAAAGTAATATGCTGACATGACAATTTTATGGAACTGTAGCTGGCAAAAACAAAAAACCCACTCCAAGAATGTTCATTATATGGTTCCTTGCCAAACTGGAATGAAGTAACTAGTGACATTCCACAAGGTTTGGTCTCTGGCCAGAACTTTTCAACATTTATATTAATAAATTAATAAAAATGATGGAGAGCATACTTATCAAATTTGCACAAGATAAAAATTGAGTGGGTTACATAATACTCCAAAAGACAGAAACAATAATTCAGAATATAATAGGTTAAAGGAATGTGCCGAAAATGACAGTTCATCGATTAGGAAAATGTAGTTAAATATCCAGGTATAGGATTGGGGATGCTATTCCAAATCATGGGAAATAATAGTTCCATTCTCTTTTTCATTGATCAAACTTCATCTCAAACTCTATACACTTTAAAAATTCATCCAATCCAGAAGGCGAGCAAAGGAGAAGACTGAAAATAAAAAGAGAAGACTGGATGAAGTTGGTGTGCTTAGCTTTTAGAAAAGATGACTGAAGGGGGATATGATTTTGATGTTCAGTTCTTCAATCACTTCTGACTTGTTTTGCCCCAACAGACAACAATTCACCAGGAGTATCTGTCAGTAACTGCTTCTTTGAGTTCCTATAAGTTCATGTTTTGATATTCATGATAGCATTCATCCATATTGTCTTTTGCTGGCCTCTTTTTTGTGGCCTTCAGTTTTTCCAAATATCAGAGTCTTCTTCAAAAACTCTTCCTTCCATGTTATATGTCCAAAATTTTAGCTTCATTGTTACTGCTTCTACAGAGCTGTCTAGCTTTACTTCACAAGTACTGAATGATTTGTTCTTTGGAATGTTTGAGATATTCTCAACAATTTGCAGTCCAAAGGCATTGATTTGCAGTCCAAAGGCATTGATGGTCAAACTTTCACAGCCATATGTCACCATTGACAAGCTGTGACATCGACAATGCATACCTTTGTTGGCAGGAGTATGATAGTAGTCTTCAAATAGAAGAAGAGATGTCACACAAAAGAAGGCCAAGACTCAGAATACAGAATACAGAGTAATTGTTTTAAATTACAAAAAGGCAGATTGAATGTTAGAAAAAACTATGTAGCAGTAAGAGCAATTCAACAATTGAACCAGTTACATAAGCGAGTAGCAGCCTCCCCTTTTCAAGATACAGTCAACAGAGGCTAGATAGATAGTAGTTAGAGATACTTTGATTTGGATTTCAGCACTGAACAGGAGGTTGGACTCAATGGATTAAACTGACCTTTCTAAATATATAAATCTATACCATACATTGTTTGTCAAAAAAACTTGATCAAAAGCAAATATGCAATATATCAGGGTTAGCCAAAGAAATTGTTCTATCAAAAAGATTACAGTGAACTGGTTGTCCATTTTCCCTGTAAGAAGATATCTCTCCACCTATTTCCAAACAGGCCCATTCAGACATCATACAGTTTAAAAGCTGCAGGTTATTTGCTTTGCCAAGCCAACTGCTAGACCACAAAAATAATGCACAGTTAATAATATTTCACAGCCAACAAAGGACTTACTAAATACTAAAAAAGCAAATGGAAATATAGTGGGTGAGTAACTTATTCATTTATTTGTTACATTTTAAGTTTGTTCCTGTTTGAAGGAACTTAGGGCGATGGACATGGCATCTGCTGTTTAATTTTATTCCTACACTCATAGGTTTCTTCCCTGTGCTGAACACACCACAGGGAGCCAACACTGTTTCAATTATATGATGAACCTTCTTGGTTAAGTATTACCTTAAAGGGTTACTACAGACAAGGTATTCCAGAATTTCCATCACTAAGGCACTTCAACACTGCAGCCTAAGCTGCTTCTCTCCCATGCTGTTCCCAGCTCTTCAGACATTCCAGTCCAGACTGCAGTGGGCTGGTGCTCAGTCTCGACTAGGGCCACCACAAGACATGATTGGTCATTTCCCTGCTTCTTGCTCTTCCCATCCCTGCAGGGAAAGCAAGTCTCATCTGGTGGCTCCTGTGAGGGCTGGTCAGTCAATGCCTACCTTTTACCTGTAGGGATTGTTCCCTCCTCACTAGTCTTCATGCCTTTCCTTTGCTTTCACAGATGTTTGGAAATATGGATGCTTCCACTCCCTCTTCCACACTATCTCCTTAACATTAACACAGACCTTTTCTTTCCCTTCCCCCTTTACGGTTCCACCTTTGCTCAGATGCTATAATAATCAAAGCATGAGGAACAGATTGCTCTTTTGTTTCTACATTCCTTTGTAGGTCCATGGAATCTGTTCAGCAAGAAAGAACAGATAGCTCAACTTCATTAGAAACAGAGTAGCAATATTTATACTTTGCAATTTAAAGATTTAGAACAGACATTATGCAATAGTGTGGGCAGGGGATGGGAAAGCATGCTTCACCCATCCTGGACAAAAGCCAAAAGGTTACCTGCTGGGAGATGTAGGGCTGAGTGGAGCATGAGTTTAGGGTTGAGGATAGTTCATTAACTTTGCCATCATGGGATCAATTGCAAAACTATTTAAAAAAAAAAAAAAAGGATCTGCAGAGAGGAACAGCAGAGAGCAGAGCAGCCTGGCAGTCCAGAACAAAATGGTTGCACAGGGTAGCAATTAGCCACTGGAGGGAAGGGGACATGCCAGGCACAGCAGCCCATTCAGTTCTGGGGCTGCTACGAGAATTGAATAAAATGCTGGAGACTCTCCGTTCTGAAGGGCTTAAGGTGGCTCACGTGAGAAAATCAGAGTTTCTAATCAAAGGTGGAAAACAAAGGTCCAGGGTGTATCTGCAATGGGCTGGAACTGTGAGGAGGAAGGCAACATTTGTGCCTGCACTCAGGAAGTGGTGAGTGGCCCATTCTGGCAATGGGCTGAGCAGCCAGCACAGATCTGCTCTGAGTCAAGTATCTATCCAAGCAGTAGCTCTGGAGTTCCTTGTGTGCCTCTGTTTCTGCCTAGGGCAAAATTTCTATTTGCCAAAGGGCTTGGTAAATATAGTTACTTTTCCTCTTTCCTTCTTCCTGAGCTCTTTGCAAATAACTGTTCTTTTATTTTCTGATCTGTATCTGATTTTGATGCTGTCCTTCTATCCCCTTTTACTGTAAATTCTGTCATGAAAAACAGTTCTTTTGAGTGTTGGCGATGACATATGTGTATAACTTGAAATGGATTGCATCTGATTCTCAGTGTTAGAGAATTAAACCAAATAGGAATGAGAAGAGAGAGATTGGTGGATTTGCATACAGTGAAACTTCAATTTAATGGGCCAGTTTTGGGAAGGAGGTGTCTGTTACTCTCAGATGTCTCTTAAACTCCAGACTACATCATTTGCATTGGTTTATATAATGATGTCATGAAGCAAATAACATAATTTGAAGTGCAATTCTCCTATTACATAATTTGCAACAATTTATGCCACTTGCACAACTGAGGCAAATAGCTACTAGTGCCATAAACGTACCATAAATGTACCTGACTTATTCAGAATATTTTGGATGAACAGACTTGTTACTTTGGAGACATGTCTGGTCAGAAATTTTGTTCTTTGCATTCAAAGACTGATTAATCAGGGTCCGTTAAATCAGAGTTTCACTGTATATCCAAAAACAAAAGCCTGCCTCTGCTAATACTGTTCATATTTTTTTA